TTTTGCAGTTCAGTATACGTGGATCTCGCCTTTGAAATCTCTCGCTTGCATCCCAAGTACACTGTCGTCAGGCTCCCCATTGTTCTCAGTGCCCTTGGTTTGGTACCTCCTGATCTCTTGGCGCAGATCAGGAGAGTGCCCGGGTTCTCCCCCCTGGGAGCACAGCCCTTCTGACACTCTGGGTAATGCAGAAGGCTGCAGTGTTGGGGAGTCTACATATTCTCCGGAAACTTCTTGGTGGGTTCGACTAGGCAGTGTTTCCTGGGCGAAGTCCCATTCGCTGTCTGGGCTGCGTGTAGAGGGGGCGAGGGCCCTGAGCTGATGATGAGCCTTACCAGCCTGACTGTGCCAGGATCACCCGAACCCTCTCTGCTGCATACTATCTTTAATCTGGAAAACATAATAATAGTAATGCACTTTTTGAGCGCCTAATGTCCAACCGATGCTACTCAGTGGCGCTTTGAAAGGTTCAGTGGAAATAGAAAGGTTTTCAGTTGTTTCTTGAAAGAGTCTAGTGAAGTGCAGGATCTAATGTTGATAGGAAGAGAGTTCCATAGAATAGGAGCGTTGGCTGAGAAGGCTCTGGTCCCCATGGCTGTCTTAGAGCCATTGTTAGGAGTTACTGGTGAAGTTACTAAAAACATACTTAAGCTGGAGTACTGGAAAACCTTAAGAGTACATTTAGAGTACTGAGTGGAATTTAATGGAGTATCAGTAGCCTTGTGTTTCGTTTCATATACGCACCACAACATTGATAGTCTTGTGTAAACAGGTCAAGAAACAATAAACCAATATTTTTTTCAGATAAATACGTCTGTAAATGATTCTAAGACCATACACCATTGCTGTGGCGCCTACCTGCTACGTTTTCTAAATAATTTGCTACCGTATCGTGCATATTTTGTATCCGTACATACGCCGATACGGAGCCCTGGATTTAACCACTCACCTACTGCCTCACTTCCTGACAACCTTTTAACGTTAAGTTTAAAGGTCTTTATTTTATGACAACTGTAGCACATTGCCTTAACTCTGATCAACACCCCATGCTGTTGGGTAGCCCAGCAGGGACAGTGTCAAGGAGATCCTGGTTCAACTCCTCTCCTGAATACAATCACATACACATCCAGGGACATACTGACGCCTTAATACTTAACATCTGACAATGATTACAAAGAGAAGGAATGAAAATGTATATTTTATTGATATTGTCTACATATGTACATGTCAGATTTAAATATACAAATTATGTACACAAAATTACACACAAGAATGTACAACATGAGAGTTGGAAACAATGACAATTTCATGTAACTCAACAGATTGGCAAAATCCTGATTTCCATGAGTGGATTTCAACATTCATGTATTCATTTGCTTCCACAGGAATACAATTTCTGTGAAATGTATTAATACTCATTTAAGAATCTAGCTGGTGTGAATCTTGTAAGGTCCTGTACAAGTCCACTGAAAGACGAAAGAATGTTCAGACATCACTGTCATGATATCACACAGTACTATTTCCCTGAAAACAAATCTTCATAACTTTTGAGCCTGTACTGATGAATGAATGTTGTGTGTCACAGATTACAAAAACACCCATTTGATGACAAATTCCTGCAAAATCTCCGAGATCACTTAAACTTTAGCAACTGATAGAATGAACAAAATTGATACATCCTTGAATTTTCTATTACAATAATAAAATACTGTATCTGGAATGATGGCATTAGGTATATTTTCATGCTTGTTAAAGAAAGTTACTGAATTAAGGATATGTTTCTTTACTGTTTAAGATTCACCTTGAACTGAGTACTAAAAGAAGCTAATTTCCTTTAAGAGCTCATCTAAATCACTATATTTTTATTTCGGAGGAAAATATTCCAGAAGACACTTTGTTCTGTGAAACACAAGGAAATGCTGTTAAAAAAGTTTAATTTGCTTTTGCCATTATTAACTCAGACGTGGTCTATGGTTGTTTTAAGCATACTTGAAATAAATTTAGATTGTGATATCATATTCTTGATAATGAATTATTAACACCCTCCTTTTGAAAACTATCGACAGACTAAAAACATTGCAGGTTTCATAGTAACAGCAAACAAGATTATACGCTCATTCCGAAAATTACCTATGTCTACTAACTCTACTTTACACAGTTCCGCAAATAGAACCCTCAGACAAGATCGTGATGGATAAAGCTCTCCTTTAGTGAATATAGTTTCTGTGAAAATCCCAATGAAATAACTGTTACCATCCTCAATGCTGCTGAGAAATGAGCTGTCTTCACACATGTCAAAACAGCTGCTAACAGCATGGAACAATGAATTTGAGAGAATTAAACGAATCATTTGTTCAAGACCCAAACAGATCCTGCGTCAACCTCGTTAACACATGTTAGTTGTTGTTTCCCTGCCTGGTGTTTGGTTTCAAGGAGATGACAGAAAGAAATATTAGTTCAGAATCCAAACCATGTGTCTAGGGTATCTATGTTAAAGTACACACATACACACTTAACTACTTGCATGTTAGAGAAAAGGTGACCTCATTAACCACATTTATATTATATCATGTAAGTTGTTGAAAATTTGAAGTGATCTCTACAGTGTAGGGTGAAGACAGCCTATGCCCTTTGTTTTGTCACATTCATGCATAGAAATTATTCTTCATGAAGTCACTGTATGTATACACATCTACAATACAAGGAATGGTGCAGTAGTTTGGCTTGTAAACAGCTAAAGTATTGGGTTAAATTCTGAACCTAGGTGGGATGGTTCGTGTGAAGACTATTGTTGGTGTGTGAGATGCTGAGTGTAAAGACTGTCGTTGGTGTGTGAGATGCTGAGCGTGAAGACTTGTTGGTGTGTGAGATGCTGAGTGTGAAGACTTGTTGGTGTGTGAGATGCTGAGTGTGAAGACTTGTTGGTGTGTGAGATGCTGAGTGTGTGAGATGCTGAGTGTGAAGACTTGGTGTGAGATGCTGAGTGTGAAGACTTGTTGGTGTGAGATGCTGGGTGTGAAGACTGTCATTGGGTGTGTGAGATGCTGAGTGTGAAGACTGTTATTGGTGTGTGAGATGCTGAGCGTGAAGACTTGTTGGTGTGTGAGATGCTGAGTGTCAGACTTGCGGTATAATGCTTGCCGTGAATTAAATGAAGATATGAAACAACAATATGATAGGAAACAAAACTAATGAATGTTTCATGAACATTTTAGATCACACTGTCACGAATATACACATTATGCTTAAGATGTTTTGAAACTAGTTCAAAGGACAGAGTAGTTAGAATATTTATTTTGTCAAAATATGTTTAGTGTTGAGGCCCTGCCTGTATGTGTGAAAACACATATTGGCAATCAGAATTCATTTTGGAACAACTGACATCACTGTGGCACCTTTCAGCCCATCCTGTTCATCTTGCCATATGACATAGCCAGGTATCTACATTATCTACAGTGTCTACAGTGTGTAGGGATGTTCTGACTTCTTGTAGCTGCAGTTCCTCACTACAGACAAGAGGCTTCTTCCACAAAGTAATCTTAGTGTTAAGCTTATGTTAAGGTATAGAAATAACAATCATCTCAGCACCAAGACTGCTTTGATGAATAGAGCCCCAAGCTTTTGACCATACAGAGTTGAAACAGGGACATGAAGAAGTATGTTAACCTCAGAAACATTCTCATGTACTGCTGTTTAAATATTTGTAGTCAAAGCACTAAGCAACTTGGTTCACAGTGAAAGGCTATTAGTCCTGACCCTGTTAAACCGGAAACCTCATTATTATGGACATTACTAACCTTTATGTATATGATGTGTAAAATCCATTCACTAAATAATGGAATAAGATTGATGTGAAACCCAACTCACTCGCTGACTGGTGATAGTTTTATGAAGTGTATGATTGACCTAGGACTATTTTCTCTAACAGTGCTATGTGTAACCATGGTAACAAATGCAGTGAATCAACAATATATTAGCAACAAGAATCATCTTCCATACCACGAGAATGTACTGCTTACGGGTTATTCAGATCACTACTGAATTTGGACGGACACAGCAGAAAACCTCAGAAACTAAACTTGAGAAAACCGAGACTGAAACCAAAGTTGACAGGATTCAGGAGTGCCCAGGGGGGACAACTCTGCACCTGTGACCGAATGTGGGTCTCATTTACCTCTTTAGGTCAACAAGCATTGATGCCTACAGACCTAGAAATATTATCGGGAGAACTTGGTAAGTCATGATGAGAAAACAACAACTTCCACACTGCAAGGTCACAAGGTTACAACTTAGCACCAAGCAGGGAGTGGTTACCGGGTAGAATGTATTGCCAAGCAATCCATCTGCATATCAACCTGTTGAAAATCTCCCTCCGTCAGCAGTGCTGTACAGTTTAACTGGCTCTTGTTTTTCACATTCCATACAAGAATACAATTACCGGTTTATAAAACAAACAAAAACTGCAGATGTGTTACCTGAACCATCTGATGTACATGCAAACTATTTTTCTGCTCTTTCATCATAGTTGACTTGATCATCTTTTAATGTAGCCAACCACTCCACTTTAAGCACCACTGTTGTCTTACTGATCCCCCACGTCATAATTTATCCTATATACATCATCACAAAAGTTAGGACACCTAATACATATCACACGGTGCCCTTAAACAGTCATATAAGTGTTGTTTCAATCGTTTGGGTTGAAGTACATCCTATTTTATCATCCAAAACTGTGTTCCACAGGAGATATCGCTTGTGTAAGATCATATGATATCTCCTAGGAGATATCGTTTTGACAGTAGATTTTCTACAATGCCCTGACAATGCTATGATGTCATCAACTTGATGACGTCACAATGCTATGACATCGCTGAAGTGTTGAGAGATGTACATTTTTCATTGCAAAGTAATGATTTTTGATGATAAATAGAATCTCACCCTCGTGTCTACTGATATCAACACTCGTTGATAAAGGTAAAAATATCCTCGGCAAGCCTCAGATATTTGTAACTTTATCACCTCGTGTTGATATAATTGATATCAGTAAACACTTGGGTGAGATTCTCTATATTACAAGACATGGTTCATGTGTTCTTCCGACACATCTCAAAGCTACAAACTTGTACCAAGATATATCGTGACACAACATGTTGACCATCTTGTCAAACAATGCCAGTAGTGCTGAATACCTTGATGGCGCCAAAGTCTATCGTGTATTCCCATCTCTACACTCAATGCATTCACACACAGTCCTCTTAATTCACGTGCTATTCACAGACATTGTACACAGCAAGATAGGAAAGTGTACATGGTCACTATCCTGGTACCTATTGGTTTTGGGCTAAACATTAGATTGAGGCAGGGATTACATGAATACAATGTATTCTCCCTGGAACGTAAATTCTTGCTTTCCTGTGGTTCCTTCTCCTGTACAGTCTCAGGGTGGGAAAGCAATTGGAATGAATACTGGCAATCCTGGTCCTCAGTTTGATACATATACCATGTGACAGTAATTCCTATTCACAAACACTTCCAGTCCTGCTCTATTGTATTTTGAGTTTGTTGATACCATAGAATGTCTTTTGCCACACATTCCAGCTTTGATAGTCTGCTTTGGTTGTGAATTGGTTAGGACACTTACAGAAAACCCTGTCATATCCGTTTCATCAACTTTTGTCAAGGCCAGAATGACTTGCCGACTTGAAGCACTGTATAGTGAAGTCCTCTCAAGCTGTGACAGTTTGTCTGGGCTACAATATGACACACACTGCACATTTGGTGACATGAACCTGCTCCACACTCCCCGTGGCTGCTGGAGGTTGTTGTGCAGGTTCTGGCTGTGGTGCTATGACTGGATTGCGATGTGGGCTGGGGGGGTTGTGGTACACCTCTTGGAGCAGGGGCATGTCTGGTTCTGTCAGGGAACTGAGACTGGTATCGTACAGACTCTCGTTGCCTAGTTCCTGTTGTTTGCTGATGTCGGTAACCGTGACGACGGAGTCGATGCAAGGCTGGATGGCAGGCATGGTGTACAAGATGATCCGGTTGACGATCTCATTGTGCTTGTCCTGGAGGTCGGCATGGACCCCACTGCCACCGTGACCTCCGACACCTGCAAGACATAGGGAGAGGTTATGCCTCAAGTTGTCCGAGCTTAATGTTAGAGAAAGGCATTATCATTTAATAAAATGTTTTAAATACTTTTCAACACCCCGATTTTACTCAGTAAAAATACCAACTATCAAGCCAATCATGACCCTCTTCTTAATTGTTTCAGAATGTCATGAATTTTTAAATTTAAAAAGTTTTTGGCGTCATTTACCTAAATATAGTACCACCCGTATGTTGTCCACAGTAAAGACAAATACCGTATATTACTATAGATAAGCCGAATTTTGAACACCCAAAAAGACAGCCTGCAGAAGGGGGTCGGCTTATCTACCGTGACATTTTGGTCAAAAACATTTTCTGGTGGCCAGTAAGAAAACGACATTGTAACGACTTTGTCAGGTCAGGGAAGACGTCAAATTTGCAATTAAACATCATGAGATAAGATTGAAGGTAATTTGTTTTTTGCTAGGCATTGTATTATATGCAGGGATTAAGATTACCGTGTGTGCACATGTTTCTCGGCGATCTACCAGTGATTTTGATAAAACATACCCAATAATATAACAGGATGAATTCTGACACAGTGATCAGTAAAATATAATATCTAAAACTATTATTTTACCAAGAGAAATATATCCTAGCATTGTGTAATTTTAATTACAGGTTTTGCTCATAGCGAGTTATACGGACCCTCACGAACATGGTAAGCGTAAGTTGTACGCGCATGGAATGAGGTGAAATAAGCATGCCATTTCACACACGTTTTCAACGATGTTACTGAAAAACTAGTGGTCCATGGATGGCGAGGCAGTAATCAGTTCATGATTGTTGAGAATAATGTGAAATTGGTACTATCGCGGTTGGAGTGAAAAGTGTACCCTCAGAACATGGAATGAGGTGAAATAAGCATGCTAATTTGCTGACATGTGATCGTCCAGCTACAATAAATGAAATTTAGCAAAACAAAATATATATGTATCCATTCTCTGTCAGCTGCGTGAGTAGATGCAATATGATAGTAATTGCTGTGAATAATGCGGACCGAAGTTATAATTATTGGTAGCTGCCAGTTGTCTTAGGACCCCATATTGGGGGTCTGCTTATGTACGAAATATACCATTTTGATACTGATTTTAAGGGTTAAGTCGACCCCCCTAACTTATCTAAGAGATCTTCTTATCTACGTTAATATACGCTACATATGGTAATGTTATTGAGAACTATTAGGAGTTACCTGCCCTTGTCGGATCTACAAAAGTACTTAAACCACTAGGGAAAGTGATGTCTCTTGTTCTTGGATGTGTTTTATTAGCATAACTGAATAACTGCCCTAGGGCAATTATTTCTAATTAAACACAATAAAATTGTACTCATTTTGATAATCGTCATCTTGCCTAATACATGACATGTGTATTAAATAAGTATGCCCTCGTCGTGTAAGCCGTGTAATCACCCTCACTACGGTAGTTATGTATAGTTGCTGACTTGGTCAGGTAGACAACTGTTGAAAATGGTATAAAAGTTATTGTCACCACTGGAAAACAAATACATTCTGCATAGATATTTCTGACAAAGTAATGGGGCATCAAATACAATGATTTACCATTGTATTTCCTGTTCTGCTAGGCTAAGCTCTCTCTGCATGTTGCTATTTCCTGCTTAGTTTACACAGTAATATATTTCTCATGATCTACCAATGATTTGGTTATTTTTTTTTATTGAAATTTGGAGGAATTATTACATCAACTGCTATTTAATCAGGAATTATGGTATATGTGCAACTAAAAGAACAAAACTCTCATTGCGTAATTACAGTGGAATCTGGCTCATCAATAAGTTTCACTTTGTCACAGGTCCATCTGACATAACTATGTTTATGGAACTGACTGACACTTTTAGCAACATTCCAGCAATATCACGGAGGGGACACCAGAAACGGGCTTCACACATTGTACCCATTTGGGGAATCGAACCCAGGTCTTCGGCATGACAAGCGAACACTTTAACCACTAGGCTACCCCACCGCCCCTATAGAATTAACTGACCATTTGAGAACAGAAGTAACACAGATGTTTATTCAATGGACTGTTATTTTAGTGAGCTACATCCGGATTACAAAGCATTGTTCTCATAGCGAGTAGATTGTCGGGACTGTTATTTTAGTCCGTAATCCATAATTGAGAGAGTCTGGATCATAAATCTAGCTTTAATGAGAAATTAAGAACAATTTTGCCGGGACTAAGAAAGTAGTCCGGATTTGACAGATTCCACTGTAAACTTTAATCTAAACATTTGTATTACCTTTCATGTTGATGTAGACGAGCTGAGAGAGGATGACGGACATGCCCCCAGGTGGCGGCCACATGACGGACTCGAACATGACGGGTATGATGGGCTTCTTCAAGATGTCGGCCAAGGCCAGTTCACGGTTGCAGTGATGGGACACCACATACTTGGGCGTGATGCAGGAAATGAACAACTGTGGGGAGACATGTGACATTACATAGGGTATAATATGATTGCTTCCTGTTTGTCTGTCTAGACCAGAGCAGTATTCCAACTATATGATGGTTAGACCAGATAAACCAGTCACTTATATCAACATTGCTAGTGTACTCCGGAACAGTGGCACATGTAAAATTTCTTGCCCTGATAATTTTTCCACTATACCGGCCATTTTCTTGTTGATTTTTTAAAATAAACAACATAATTAACATTGGAAAGTCAACTGGACACCGGTACAGTGTGATATACAAATTTGCTTGCCCAACAGAAAAAAACACTGGACTCGGACGTCGGGCAATGGGTTATTTCCACCCCTGCACTAGATTCACTTCATGTTGCTTTAACAAGGGATCACATGCAGAGCTTTCTGTACTTAAAGTTACAGAAGAATGACGTAGATCATATGCATATCAGTTACTATTTTCATATCTTGATAACAACTCACCACACAGTTTCGAATGCCCTCGTCTATCTTGAGGTTGAGCTGATCTCCACCTCCCATCTGACCAATGTCCATCCAGCAGGTGAAGCCCGACCTCTCCAGGCGTGCTCGGAGAGTCTGGACATCGTCCTGGGAGTCCCACTGGTAGCTCAGGAAGATCTGAGGCATGTCGGAGTCACTCTCTGGTACAACATACAGAGGCACTGTAGTTCACCTTCAGATTCTTGCAACAAACAGTTCATCTCAGTGTCTAAACTTAGGTATTCACCCATAGTACAACACAAACCTGTACGAGAAAAAAGGAACATTTCTACTTTTGTTCGTTGCTTAACGCCACACTCAGCAATATTCCTGCTATATGGCAGCAGTCTGTAAATAATTGAGTCTGCACCAGACAATCTGATGACATCTCTTATAACAAGTATGGGTTGCTGAAGACCAATTTTATCCTGGATGAACACAAGTATTATATATTTGTTCCCCTCAGTATATCTAACACACATGTTCAGCTTCAAAAGCCCAATACTGTCATCAGTATCAGTCACACTCTCTACCCATGAAGATACAGGTTAGAATATTGATCTTCAGTAACCCATGCTTGTCATAAGTTAGTCGCCTCTTATGACAAGCATGGGTTACTGAAGGTTCATTCTAACCTGGTGTGGTGTTGCTTGAGACTGCATTGTCCACATGAATTCCTCTTGAATGCTACCACTCAGATGACAGTACTGACTAAATCATGCTGCCCAAACACATACCCTTGGCCTTCTGGATAACATCCACAATGTCATCTCGTTTGATCTGTTCCAGGAACACCATCATGAGGTCGACCGAGAGGGAGGTATTCCCACTGGTCAGGACCCAGTCGGTCAGCAGAGCCAGGGCTGGGTTCAAGTCCTCATTGATCTGGTCAATCCGAGCCTGTTTGTAACCTGCAGGATATATAAACAAGCTAAACTTCAGAACCTTCAATTCTGTAGTGACTCCGTAACCCACATGAGCATGTTTTCAGTGGAACTATTGATGATATACATGCAGGTATAGAAATACTTTTTATCCCCCGCAACGCGTTTTGCGGGGGGTATTAAAATGGACTCTGTGCGTGCGTGCGTCCGTGCACATTTGTCTTTTCCGGAGCAGAACTCTAAAACCGTTCACTATCTCTTCACCAAACTTGGCACACAGATTGGTCTGGTGGTGTACTGGTGCCTTTTGGTAGTTTTGGAATTCTGAATAAAATATTTTTTGGCATTTCCATGGCAACAAGTTTTGCCATTGCGGGGGATATTGATGACTTTGTCTTCTTGTTTTTCTAAGTGTGCCTTAGGGCACCAGGTAAATATTTTAGGTGTGCCTTTCAGAAATCAGGTGTGCCCAGATGTTTTTAGAATAAATGACTGTAGCAAGGATGATGATCTTTTGAAATTTATTGTCAGAAAACAACAAATGTAACCAGTTTTCTGTTATCACGGCTTTCTTATGTTTCATTTGTTTTGCTTTCCCAGCACCTTTAATAGCTAAGAATTGTGTGAGAGGTTCACTTTTTTCAATATATCTAACATACACAATTTCCTCTTCAATAACATAACTATCAGTACTCCCATCAATCTAAATGAAAAAACAACCAGATTTCTTTACATGAACCGTTTTTACTTGGTTGTCATTTGCATAAGTGTTTTCTTTGGTTATTAAGTGACTATAGGGTGTTATGTCTTAGGCATGCCATAAGGGCACCGAGAACATTTTTTATCCGTGCCATTTCGATATTTACCATGCTATTTCGATATTTACCGTGCCATGGCAAGCTAATATATGGGGTATTTCGAACCCTGACATGTGTATAGCTGTATGAGGCAAGTCACCTGACTTGTTTAAAATCTAAAACTACTTACAACCTGAAAAATATAAGTGTATTTAGTATAAAAATATTTTGTTGATTTTGATATTTCTTTGTATGGTGTCTGCTACTAAAGTAAGTGCTGGCTACCTCAATATCCTTGGAAATAACAGTTGATTTGAAAGGTTGAGCACCCACAAGTAATATCTGAGATAAATTGACAAAATACAAGCATTCACATAACAAAAAGAAAGATCACCTCCCCACGTCAGTTTTTCAAAATATTTGGAAAACTAATTTCATCAAAGTGTTTTGATACATGAATGGATAACTTGTCGAATCTGTGAAAGGTTGTGATTTTATGAGTGATTCATGCAATGCTTATTTGTCAACCGAAAAAAAAATCCCACACTCTTACATAAAATACCAGTCTGACAAGTACCTGATCAGCAAGGAATCAGAAGCTGGCCAATCTTGCAAGTGTCATTCACTTACACATGTCATAACAAAAGCATTATTTTCACACTTCTAAACACGATAACATTATGTGATCTCTTATTTCTATGTCATGTGAATCGCATGCCTTGATTCGTTTGATTCAATGAAAACAATACCCTCCCATTTGACCTTAGTTTATTAGATTTTCATCTATATATTTAAAAAATACCTACGAAGGATATTCAGCAAGCAATGTTTCACAAGATAGTCATCAATTCCCACTAAAAGGCTGGAAAACGTGAAGTATCACAATTGAATTCCCTTTTGGCGACAGCAGCAAAAGATCTTGTTAAACAAGCCACTAAGTCAACTTGGTTATACCGTCTATGTTTCATTACACATAGCCTACACCACTGCCATTTAAGAAAAGGACACTTAACAGCCGCCTTTAAACTTCTTCCCATCGCTAGTGGTCAGATGGTCATCTCGACCCACCCATGAGTTTAGCCAGTGGTCACCTCGACCCCTGTACCCAGTCTGACCTACCCATGAGTTTAGCCAGTGGTCATCTCGACCCCTGTACCCAGTCTGACCTACCCATGAGTTTAGCCAGCGCTGCCCAATCCTGGTCATCAGACCCACTGTTCAGCAGCTTGGCCGCCCCCTTCATCCACGACGGCAGGTTGGGGACGTTCTTCTCAATGTTGCCGCCCGTGTTCTCCAACGTCAGTCGAGGCAGTATCGGTTCTGGCATATCTGGATAACATGGAAGTATTGTTGAAACTGTTCCCCATGTTTATAATGTGTTCTGGGAAGGACCAGATTTGGGATGAAGTTTTAAGTTTCAAATATATTTGTCCTGGCAGAATAGATTCGCATTTCCTAACGTCTACAGACCGACTTGATTATCTGGTCCAGACTTGATTATTTACAGACCGCTGTCATATAGATAAATATGTTGCTAAAAAACAGAGAAACAGAAAAAAGCTCTGCAGCTCAAAAAACATCTGATTTTTCATATTACTACAAGTAATCTGTTATAACGGGAGGGTATGTCAACACAGCCATCCAACTTTGGTGTTCTGTAATGTTTCGACAAGTGCAATGAACATCGATTTCAGGATAAGACGTAACATGATACTTTTTGAGATAAGGAAAAATAAACCATAACACACTTGGCACTGTTTTATATAATCCTGTAAACTTTTTAAACCATGGTAAAGAAAAAAAGTTGCAGACATTTACCTATTTTTGGTTGAGGGAACCATTTCCTGATATCAGCAGTTTTCACCCGTCTGTGTTCACAGCAAACAATCTGGAACAATGAAGGATGACATGTGATACAGTCTAATACAGATACATTCCAAACCATCATACTCAAGCCCTTAGACATGGTGATATTTCTCAGGTTATGTGAAGCAAACAGCTGTTTTCTATCAATTGTCAATACTGTATTTCTTTAACAAGAAGACAAAGTCATCAATATCCCCCTCAATGGCAAACTACTCTTCATGATTAAGTCTACGAGTTATGATTATGTCAAATATTTAGGTGTGTATATAGAAAAGTGGAAGGAGAGCATTGAAAGGTTTTTGAAGTTCTGCTCCAGAAAGGATTCAGTCGAACTTGTTGCCATGGAAACGCCAAAAATATTTTATTCAGAATTCCAAAACTACCAAAAGGCACCAGTACACCACCAGATCAATGTATGTACCAAGTTTGGTGAAGAAATATTGAACGCTTTTAGAGTTCTGCTCCGGACGGCCGGCGGACGGACAGAGTCCATTTTAATACCCCCCGCAAAACGCGTTGCGGGGGATAACAATGGTAGACTGAAACATGTTGGGATCACACTTTGTCGTAAATACCTATTTTGTCCAAAATGCTAGATAACATTGTCAGATGCTTTGATCTTTAGTGTTCCTTTGGATTCGGACTTTTTATTTATTTCAAAGGCAGGATTCATAGTGCTGGAATATTGCCGATTGTGGTATAAAATGACAAACTGTGCCCCTTACCTTGGTGGTGAGACATTCGTCCAGGTCCAGGAAGTGGAGACATGACTCCTGTGTACACCTGGCTAGCCCGTGCCGCTCACACACTTTGTCACACGTACATCGCAGACACATCTTGTAGGCAATCCTCTTCATCCACAGCTGCCGCAGGTCCGTCATTGTTGACTCGAGAAAGTTCCGTACCTAAACACAGAGAGTCACAACCAATCAGGATTCAGTTTTACATTCAAAGGGAGACCATCATGATTCACTTTCCAAATCACCTTCAGTCTGTATATGAAATAAAACCAATTTCAGAGAACTGAGATATGTATTAACCTTGGCACAGGCTGCAGAGAGGGGATTGTAGCCGGGGTTGGTGTAGATGGAGTCAGAGATGCCCACGACGACAACCTGAAACACGACAACATGTATAAGTGGAAAAAACCCCAAACACGACTCTTCAATTCTCTGACCAAAGTAAAACATGCAGTGGGGATCTATCAGTGTTGGAGTGGTAGGTTCTTATCATCACGATTAGGGGGGACTATGGGGGGGGGGAAACAACTTTTGCAACATACTGTTGCAATAGTTTTTTCTCTCCTTGAATTGTCTTATTTGAACTCATTTCCCAAATGAATGTACAATTTATGTGAAATAAGAACAAGTTGAAGTAGTTTCTGTCTCTTTTAATAACTGACAAACTTGAATCCCAGATGAAGTAAACAGTTAAAGTTTAAACTTGTAATTCACAATTTCAAACTCCGAGTAGCATGCCATGTTTGTTTTAGTAACAAGGGCAGATAACTCTCAATCAAAGTGAACGAATCTGGTATGAATTTTGTGCTGCTCATTAATCATTGGAAGTCAATTACCAAATTATCAATGGTTTTTCATTTCTACCATCGATTAATTGCTATCGGATACTCAACAATTGCAATCCATCGATAGTTCGATGCATTGTTACAGCACTAATTACGATGCATACTTCAGAGTAATCGTATCTCATTCATGTGGCTATTTCTATTCAAAGTGTGTAATATTCCATACTTAGGGAGCCATCTGTGGTATCTAGAAACATCTCTTCTACATATACTATCACCATACAGCATGGATGGCATGAGTACCCATGGTCTGCCACGGAGACCTACCTTTAGTCTGTGGTACGCTCTTGGCGCCAGTTCCAGCACAAAGTCATGAGAATCATCCAGAAAGAACTTGGCGATTCGACTGTATAGATAGGGGTCTCGCCCCCCATTGTCCTGGGACCACCTGATGGCTCGCGTCATGATCCGATAAAACAGACCGTCTACAACACATGGTCATGTGACTGTTACCATAATTTCAGCATAAACAACATAAAGAAACTTGTTGAGTTATCAGTTATTAATGAACACTATGAATGGTGAATATACCTGGGAGAAAGTTGTTGAAGTCGAGATAGAATACAGCTGTGTTGTCGGAGAGAGTGTACAGGTGGCGCTGATCATCCAGCTTCTCCAGCCTCATTGGGACGTAGTAGCTGAGTGTCTCCTCTCGGTGAGTCTACAATACAGAAATGTTTTCACGTATATACTTGTGTCAGGAAAACGGATCCTTCAACATCCCGACATACCTGTCTCATGGGCACTGATGTGTGAGGTGAGGTGAAATTGCTCATATGACGACGTGCATGTATGTGTATGTGCGGCTGCTTGTACTAGCCCAGACTGAAGCTGGTTTTATAGTGCTAGCCCACTGAGATACCATGCCGCATGTGAAGCATGAATACCCCACTCAGACACATTATACTGACTCCGAGCTGACCAGTCCTTGTTGTACCAATTAGTGCCGAGCGCCAGGCAGGGACCAACAAGTACCATATTTTAACGTCTTTTAGAATGACGCGGCCGGGGATCGAACCTGTGACCTTCCTCTCTCTGGGCGAACGCTCTAACCACTACACTACGGAGGTGGTCCACTGATATGTATCTTCAATAGAGTCATGTGAGAGAGAGCCTTGAGCAGTATTGCATCACATCACAGCATGGTAGCCTGATACAGGATGAAATCCTGTAGGTGAAACCCACAAGCTTGCAGATTTGGAATAAAATGATCTGCACTCATGATTGTAGGTTTCTGTCCCGCTGTAAAATATGCAGCTCTGCACAACTAATTGTGCTGTTTCAGATATATACTTAACAAAGAAGGAGCTACATCCTGAGTTTGAATAAACTGAGTGTAACGTCACTTTGAACAATATTTCAGTTATATCCCAGTGTATCATGTTGGAGGAGTGAGTGAGTATAGTTTTACGCTGCACTCAGCAATATTCTAGCTACGTGGTCTGTAAATAATCTGGACCGGACAATCCAGTGATCAACAGCATGAGCATCGATCTATGCAACTGGGATACAATGACATGGGTCAACCAAGTCAGCGAGCCTGACCACCCGATCCCGTTAGTCACCTCTAACGACAAGCATAGGTTACTGAAGATCAATTCTAACCCTGATCTTCACGGGTCTCATGTTGGAGAAAAGTCTGGTGATGCAGGATGAGGACCACAAACCAATGACCTCAAATTAGTTAACCGATGTAGTCTGCTTGCTGGATTACCTGTCCACGGGGCGGCAGTCTGTGGCAGATGAGGTCAAACTTGTCCATGAGAGCCAGCAGGGTGGGCTTCTGGTCCAGGGCGTCGTTCCACAGCATGTCCAGCAGAGGCTCCTCCAGGATCCCCAGCTTCTCCAGGCGGTCCCACTTGTCACTCAGGAGGTCCCACTGGGGCACAGAACACTTGGTTACAGAACACCACCTGGTACTACATAAACACACAGTTCTACATGAACACACCTACTCCGGCAACCACAAAATCCTCCCAAATTACCTGATCATGACTGGACCGAGCTGTGATGATCCTCCTGAACATATCGACCAGCCACTGAGGTTTGAGGATGACGGTGTTACGGAGCACGTTGTGGGCTTGGCCAGCATTGCCATAGTGGATGATGACTCCCAGGTCATGGTAGAACTCCAGTAGAGTCTTCACCTCTTCTGTGTCCATGACGCCATGGTTACTTGCCATCTCTGTGATCTGTGACAAGTGATAGAATAAACATTGTTTAAGGATGCAGGCAGCAATGTTCCAACTATATCATGGTAGCTTGTAAAGAAATGGATAAATGAGTCTGAACCATGAAGACCAGCGAAAGCAGCAACATTGTAACACTGAATCGTAATCTCAACATTGTTACACTGAATCGTAATCTCAACATTGTTACACTGAATCCTAATCTCAACATTGTAACACTGAATCCTAATCTCATCAACATTGTAACACTGAATCGTAATCTCATCAACATTGTTACACTGAATCCTAATCTCATCAACATTGTTACACTGAATCCCAATATCATCAACATTGTTACATTGAATCCTAATCTCATCAACATTGTTACACTGAATCCTAATCTCATCAACATTGTTACACTGAATCCTAATCTCATCAACATTGTAACACTGAATCGTAATCTCAACATTTTTACACTGAATCGTAATCTCAACATTGTTACACTGAATCGTAATCTCAACATTGTTACACTGAATCGTAATCTCATCAACATTGTTACACTGAATCCAAATGTCATCAACATTGTTACACTGAATCCTAATCTCATCAACATTGTTACACTGAATCCTAATCTCATCAACATTGTTACACTGAATCCTAATCTCATCAACATTGTTACACTGAATCCTAATCTCATCAACATTGTTACACTGAATCCTAGTCCAAGTAATGTTGCACTGCTTCCCATAAACAGCAGGAATCTGATTTAGCCTACCTGGTCGGTGGTGGCAAAGTGTGTGCCAGTGTCTGCCTTCTCCGTGATGTCCTGCTCAAACTTGAGCCACTTGATGGGCATCTGCTCCCCCATGTATGACTCCTGGCTGGCGATCCGCTCGATGTGCTGACGTAGCTTATCAATCTGGAGCAAGTCAAAGCAGTTGGCGATACTGACCACCAGAATACATATACTTCTATGTGTGGTATCTTGATTATCTAATGATCCATTAAGCAATATTCCCTGGACACACTCTCAATGATGCTACAGAGTCTGACCCACCAAACATACAGTCTTTATGCATACATTTATCCAGACATACTATGTTATTCATTGTTTACACCGGATCTCACTGAAGTTAAATGACCCTTTATGTCAGAACTACTTTCGTTCTGTCTCATTCTGTTTGTTTTTCAAAGTAAGGTCATTCAGAATGTTACCTCTTCTTGTGATCTATTATGACCTGACAAAGTTGAATTTCAGCTGAGGCTTAATTGTTCAAGTAAGTGTATCCAGCGCTTGCTCATACAAAGCCGTAACAATTTTGTCATGGTTGTTGGTTTCTGTCTCATGAGCTACAAATGGAAGCTATGGTGGCTAAAATAGAATAGACTAGAATGCCTATTCAGGAATTTGTGTTACATCAGCAGAGCTAGTGGCACATCAGAGAGATACAAAACATATTTACATAAATTCATTGATTTAAGTATCTTCACATTTGTTTAAGAGAGATATGGTACTTGGAATAAAGGATGAACAGGCTCTCTTAATTTTCACAATTGGAACTTTGTAGCAGCGACCTGAAGGGAGGAGGTTGTATTCTGAATTTAAGTAGTGAGTACGGTCAGATATGATTTTGACAGCTTGATTCACGATTTGACGCTCATATATTGATAATAAACATTGAAATCTGACTCCAGCGATTTTACTTGCAGTGTTAACAATTTTGTTTATTTTAGATTTGAGATGAACTGAGAGAGACCCGTACCAACAATGGAACGAAAATGTTAAAATACTCTGAATAAATGGTGCATAAAATGCTGGTTAACGTCCAGATTGCTGGTCATCATCAATCACAAAAAAACACAAACAAAACAAAACTAACCTGCACATCCTCTCCACCCAGAGAGTTATTTTCCACGGCAAAGAATGGTGTCACAATGTGCTGAGTGTATGGCTTGCCTGTCAGAAACTCTCGCAGCTGGTTGAACTTCTCGGCAACCTGTTACAAACCATTGACATTATTCTCAGTTTGGGATACCGGGTAATAAATCCTTGTCAACCATTGGAACAAAATTTTGAAATGATTTCTTAATTCACAATGCGTGAGTGAGTGAGTGAGTTATTATTTAACGTCACATCGGCAATATTGCAGCCATATCGTGATGAGAACATATTTGATTTTGAAGTGGAATATATGTATATTATAAAAACCTGTCGACGAAGGACAGTAAAACAACTAGAATATCACAATTAGAATTAAAACTAGCGTGGAAAGTTTAAAACTAATAGCACTATTGGGACAATACAATATAAAAACAGGCTATAGATCGCCAACAACAGAAGGTAGATCACCATACTAGGGACCATGGGGACTTACAGTACCTTTGCTACCTGCATGGACCCTAGCTGGATTTACAGGAAAATTTAGCCGGAAGTTAAAAGAACAAAAATACTACGATTAAAATGTAAATTTTCATCTTACTCTGAAAGTTTTGGGACTTACGTACCCTCTCAGGAGGACTAATTCACAATGAACATTGATTTCACAATGCAAGGTGAGTGTATCAAAACCCCTTACTGTTTGGATCAATACCTGAGGCAGGTTTACGCCTGCATGATATGTATCGATACGTAAGACAGGTGTACCATGACCCTCTGTGATATGTATTGTTCAGTGAGGTATGTATCTGTCATATGTATCGATACATAAAACAGGTGTACCATGACTCTGACTATCTCACTATTTCCATCTGTGCATCGTGGTCCAGGGCCAGGCTGTCTCGGTGGGTGCCCACGATGAAGATGGGCGGGGACAGCTTGGTGTTGTCCACGCTGTTGCGCATGTTCTCCGCGGCATGGGCATGTATTGACCGCAGCCAGAAGTCCATGTAGTCCAGAGTGGACAGGCTGTCCTCCTCATCATTCTGAAAAGGGAGACTTTCATCAACTGCAGGAAACAGATCTGCCCAAGACATCTTTATTTGTTTGTTTATTACTTTATATTCCAGCTCTATGATGGCGGTCTGTAAATAATCGAGTCTGGACCAGACAATCCAGTGACTGACATCATGGACATTGATCTTTGAGATACGATGACATGTGTCGACCAAGTCAGTGAGTCTGACTACGTGATCCTGTTAGTTGCCTCTTACATCAAGCATGGGTTACTGAAGACAAATTCTAACCCAATTCTAATCCGGTTTCTGATGTCATGACCTGTTTTAATCACGTCATGGTCATCACGTTCAGTAAAATGAGCTGTCTGATACAAGAGATAATCTGTAACAATTAGCTAAATGTTTCTTTAACACACAATCATAATCAAACACCTGTGTCAATTCCACAACTGTCAGAAGCAATTCTGGTTTCTGTGAAGAAGATGTAGGTTACATAATCAGGTCATGACATAATTTAATGGAACTTTTCAGTCTAGTGAGCTAAAACATCTGTGATGAACACCCCTGAGATGTTGCCAATAGAACCCACGTACATATCTGACCGCCTCTGTGGTGTAGTGGTTAGAGCGTTCGCCCGGAGAGCAGAAGGTCGCGGGTTCGATCCCCGACCGCGTCATACCAAAAGACGTTAAAATATGGTACTTGTTGGTCCCTGCCTGGCTCTCGGCATTAATGGGTACAACAAGGACTGGTCGGCTCGGAGTCAGTATACTGTGTCTGAGTGGGGTATTCATGCTTCACTGCGGCATGGTATCTCAGTGGGCTAGCACTATAAAACCAGCTTCAGTCTGGGCTAGTACAAGCAGCCACACATACACATACACACGCATGCACGTGGTCATATGAGCGAAATATTCTCAAGCACGACGTTAAACCCAATTTCAACTCACCTCACCTCATGCATCCTATAGTTGGTGGAGGACAATTTTTAAAATATCTTTTGATAAAAAAATATGTTTTTCACTTTCAAAACTGTTTGTCTCCTTTTAAAAATGGAAATATTGCCAAGCAGATACAAGATATTTATTGTAAAATTGTTTCATGCGAAAAACAGGGACAAAATTCTAAACTTCTAAACATGTACCTTGTATGTCAAGATGACAATATAAAATATGAATAACGAATATTATGTGTTGAAACTTTAGATAATCTGTAATGAATATTTCAGGTATGTTTAAAGTTTTATGTGTGATAGATTATTTCTTTTATTTCATTATTTGTTAATATATGCTAAATTTTTCTGGGGAGGTAAGGCTTTCAAAATTTGTGTTTTTCGGAAAGAAAATTAGATAGGGATGGTTAATGTGTTGATATCTACAAAACAATCAATTCTTGTTCTCTTCAAATACACATAATCAGAGATTTGTTATTATATCTGACCTAATACTGCTAGTGGAAGAGTATCAATGAGCTCATAAGTTTACATAATGTGTTTGTTTCCTGGCGACTCTTCGAGCTCTGACGTAGGAGATTCTTTTAAGACCTCAAAACATTTTGTGAACAGATTGTTATGAATGAAGATCATTAACCCGCCATCCTTTAATTAATTGGGTGATCCCATGTCGGACTGCGTGAGAGAGTGGAAGTGAGACAGTCCTTTTTGTTATCGAGGTAGTCCATTCATGTTGGTTCCGCCCAACTGTTGCTAACAATTAGCACCAACAGATGTGATAAGGACTTGCCTGTGTCCTTGTCCCTAACATCAAGGACTGGTCGGCTCGGAGTCAGTATAATGTGTCTGAGTGGGGTATTCATGCTTCACTCCGGCATAGTATCTCAGTGGGCTAGCACTATAAAACCAGCTTCAGTCTGGACTAGTACAAGCAGCCGCACATACACATACACACGCATGCACGTCGTCATATGAGCGAAATATTCTCCAGCGAGACGTTAAGCCCAATTTCACCTCACCTCACCTCACGTACATATCTACTGTACAGTGCAGCGCAAGGGAGACAACTCTACCTTTTCCTGCATCTCTGGTAAGTGTTTGCCACTTAGATCATCACACAAGTTGAACACAATCACGTAGATGGCTCGGGCAGTCAGGAAAACCTGCAACATCACCAACAAAGGGGGAATAGAGAGAGAGCCACCTGCACTTAAAGACTACACACCTGGGGCTCCTTTCACGAAGCAACCTTTACTAAGGTTAACCTTAACTCCCATTCTTTAACATGGTACTAAGGTTACCTTAGTGACTTACGATCACCTTAGTGCTTCGTGAAAGAAAGCCCTAGACAGTTCAACACACATAGCATACATGAAGGTTGATGTTAGTTTGGACAAATATAATACAGGGGGTACTATCAGTCATACCACATACAGTAAATGACCATATATTAGCTGACATCTTAGTTTGAGGTATAAACTTGACCCTCTAAATCCCGACCAAATTGTTATGCCCAGTGCATAAGCTGAGTCACCAAACTACCTCCTGCGTGAAGTGACAGTCAACAGCTTGTGACCAATGCAGACCACAAGCCTACTGACAGCTCACGAGGTGAAAAATACTTTCATGGAAGTGTATCTTTTACACAAGCTGAATCCTTCATACAGAATGTTCTTTCAGCTCTTCAACATTTGTCTCATCTACTGTAATATATTGTAATTACTGTATATCATATTACGTACGGATGGGAAAGCCGCAATAACTCGGCGCGCCTAGTGGCTGCAAGAGTTGTATGCTGCCCAGGAGGTTGAGATTGATAATACGATGTGCCGTTGAGATTGACATCCAATGATCGAGGGAAAAACTACCAGCGCCTTGAGCATGCACTAGTGTGTGGATATGTGCGCTATATAAATATCCAATAATAATAATAATAATAATAATATACAGAATAGACTGAGCAAGAAGTCAAAATCACATTTTCAGACTGATGCCAATAGAATTCTGGATAGAAATTGTAGGGTTACCAATGGTGGGTTTGGAAAGAACCCAAGATAAAGCCCCCAAGCCACCATAGGTAAGGTGAAAGGTTTGCATAGTGTCAGCTCCATAGGGCTTCAGATGAGGTTCAAGTCTTTGAATGAGGTTCACAAGTGTTACTGATAAGGGGGAGATGTTTGTTGGTGTAAACTTCTTTATTGCAAGGAACAAAACATTTTGAAATTTATGTTTACACTTTAATTCACCTGATGAAGGAACAACATTATACTCCTTTCAACAAAGTAGCTGGCGTCCATAATAATCTCTCTCTTTCCAGATGTAAGAAAGACAGCAACACAAGGCAAAACTGGGTTCCAGCACGTTAAAACATAAGTTAGGGAAATCTCTCGTATCATATTGGGCAAACCATGTAAATACTTCCTGAAAATGACTGACTGACTGACTGAGTTTGGTTTTACGCCGCTTTTAGCAATATTCCAGCAACATCCTGGCTCGGGACACCAGAAATGGGCTTCACACATTGTGCCCATGTGGGGATTCGAACCCGGGTCAACGCTTTAACCATTAGGCTACCCCACCGCCCCTCCTGAAAATGAAACAAGCTTACCTGGTGTGTGGTGTAGTACACTGCCTGCCCTGCGAAGTCCCAGATATTGAGCACAACCCGGTGGCTCTTCTCAGCAGGCTGCACAAGGTCAAGGCTGTGTGTTGGTGACCCTTGTGACCCTTGACCCAGCATCTCTTGAACCAGCTGCACAACACGGTCTGGTACATCGTGCATTACCTCTGGGGGAACCTCTTTGATGTCGTCAAACAAATTCATGCCAAGGGATGTTGCCCTCCGCACCAGTGAGGGTTTCCTCTTGTCCTGCAAGACATAATACGACACTGAGGAACATTTTGTTGGAAGTTTCTGTCACAGGCCCCTACTGCGGGTCAGAAAATCGATAAACTAGGCCCCGGTTTAGTATCAACACCCCCTACTATATAATACATAAAGGTTCATCACAGAAATACGGTGACATGATCGAAAACCGGACAATTACGCACATGTCAATGAATATATCGTATTTTAAAGGTCTCACAAGTATCAAAAGCTTTTGTCCATATCTCCGATGTATGTAGGAGGCATATACATGCGCTTTCCGTGGGGATGCATTTGATGGGTTTTATTAAATCGCCAAAGACCGAGTTGCTGTGCCGGAAGTGTACAAAACTAGGTCGTCAGCGCAATCAAATTGGTTAATAAAATGACAACAAATGCACGTGCGAAAATGAGAGGGAAACTCAAACGTCTACCATCCAAGATGTCACTATCTGATGTTTTATCTTGGTAAGAATAATTTTAAAAACGAGTACAATGTAATTTTTGGAGTAAAATTGATATTTTATACTTATCCTGACTCATGCTCTTTTTGCTTGTCTTCTTCTTCTTGCGAACATAGTGGAACACTTGTATCTCCCTAATTGAAGCTCCCTTCAATTTAAAATCACTAATTAGTATTCACCACGAGTTACCTCCTTTCCACAAGCTCGGGAACGAGGGCGCCACCTCTACCCATGTGCCTCACTCTCTCCTCATATACTGAGCCCAACATTTGAATTTACAGGGAAATCCAAAGTGTTATTTGGGGAGGATGGGAGGGCTGACCTCATGAGTCAGGATAAGTATAAAATATCAATTTTACTCCAAAAATTACATATTTTCCTTATCCTGACTCATGCTCTTTTGCTTGTAGCATCCTACGAACGGAGGTGGGAATATCTAATACTTTGGATTTTTAATAATTAGTGATTTGAACTGTGATGATTGTAATAACCCTATGGGAACTTCATAAAGGCACTGAACTGATGAATTCCTGCTGCTAACTTATCAGCTGCCATATAAAGGTTATTACCATGTACTTATTATGATAAAGTATATATAACATTAATACAATGCTTAAGACTAATAGACTTAAGCTTGTTAATATGCTAGTATAAACTCCTTAGAGTTTGTTAGCTAAAATACTTTAAGATATAACATAGTACTAAGCTTAAGATATGATTAAACTTAAGCTAATTATATAATAGCAAACTCTTTAGAGTTTGTTGGTTAATATACTTATATGATATAGATATAATGCTGAGCTTAAGATATGAATAAGCTTTAGCTACATATATAATAGCAAAAACTCTGTAGAGTTTGTTAGCTAATATATTTTTATAATATGAGTATAGTACTGTGCTTAAGCTATAATTAACTTAAGCTACATATATAATAGCCAAACTCTGTAGAGTTTGTTAGCTAATATATTTTTATAATATGAGTATAGTACTGTGCTTAAGCTATAATTAACTTAAGCTACATATATAATAGCCAAACTCTGTAGAGTTTGTTAGCTAATATATATTTTTATAATATTAGTATAGTACTGAGCTTAAGATATAATTAACTTAAGCTACATATATATAGCAAAACTCTGTAGGGTTTTGTTAGCTAATATATTTTTACAATATGAGTATAGTAGTGTGCTTAAGATATAATTAACTTAAGCTACATATATAATAGCAAAACTCCGTAGAGTTTGTTAGCTAATATATTTTACAATATGAGTATAGTAGTGTGCTTAAGATATAATGAACTTAAGCTACATATATGATAGCAAAACTCCGTAGAGTTTGTTAGCTAATATATTTTACAATATGAGTATAGTATTGTGCTTAAGATATTATTTACTTAAGCTACATATATAATAGCCAAAAAACTCTGTAGAGTTTATTAGCTAATATGTTTATAGTGTAACCATAGTACTAAGCTTAAGATAAGATTAGACTTAAGCTAAATGTATATAGCAAAATAAACTCCTTAGAGTTTATTAACTAATATACTTTTTATGTTAAAAAACATAGTACTGAGCTTAAGTTATGATGAAACTTAAGCTATATATGTATAATAACAAAACTCCGTCGGGTTTTGTTAGCTAATACCTTTATAATGTAAACATACTGCTTAAGATATGATGAAAACTTAAGCTAATTGTATAATAGCGAAAACAACCCTTTAGAGTTTGTTAGCTATGATATAAACCTAGTATTGAGCTTATGAAGGAAAACTTAAGCTACATATATAATAGCAAGAACTCCGTAGAGTTTGTTAGCTAATACATGTTATAATGTAACCATAAAGCTTAAAATATGATGAAACTTAAGCGAAATATATAATAGCAAAACCCTCTTTTAGAGTTTTGATAGCTAATATACCTATATGATATAAACATAGTACTGCGCTTAAGATATGAATAAGCTTAAGTTACATATATAATAGCTAAAACTCTGTAGAGTTTGTTAGCTAATACATGTTATAATATAACCATATTGCTTAGAAATATGATGATACTTAAGCCAAATAGCAAAAAACTCTTTAGAGTTTGTTAGCTAATCTACTTATATGATATAAACATAGTACTAAGCTTAAGATATGAATAAGCTTAAGCTACCTATATAATAGCAAAACTCCTTAGAGTTTGTTAGCCAATATATTTTAATAATATGAGTATAGTACTATGCTTAAGGTATAATTAGCTTAAGTTACCTATATAATAGTAAAACTCCGTGAGTTTGTTAGCTTAATTAACTTAAGCTATGTATAAAATAGCCAAAAACTCTGTAGAGTTTGTTAGCTAATGCATTTATCATGTAACCATAGTATTACTCTTAAGATATGAATAACTTAAGGTAAATATATATAATAACAAACTCTGTAGAGTTGTTAACTTATATATTGTATGATGTAATAATCATAGTACTGTGATGATAAAAGGAACTTAAGTAAATTATATATAGCATGAAGCTATTTAGTATTGTTATAAGATAAGTAAAAATCTGTTAGATTGACTTATCTTCTCCGAGGAACTGTCAGCTGTTGTGCGAGAGGACCATGGGATCGAATTGGTGTATACCTGAGGCGTCCTCGGTGGTGATATCTCTCAGATAATGGTTTGCAACCACCATATCGGATTTCAGACATAAACCCTCCATTATTTCAATCACATTTGTGTAGAACAATTGTAGAAGTTAAGCTATAATATCATGAGTATTAAGCTCATGGAGGGTCGGAATAGGTCCATCCGCATATGCACGTGAGTATGACAGTTCTGATCCAAATGGAGATATAGTACATGAGACTTCACTCTCGTAAGTTGATGATAGAGGAAATAATCTGTTGCATTTTTCCTCCTGTTTGGTTTGGTGGAGATAAATTTACAGTGCTCTTGCTGGCCATCTTGATAGAATCATCGTATCATGGGGTCCAAGTATGTCATCCAGGCGTGTTCATAAACCTCACTTGTGAGGTGTTGAGCACTATATTCATATCCCCAGGTTGGGCGTGAAATTTCCGCTTTATTCTCCAAACAGAAGTTTAGTAGGTTTACTAACCATCTAGTTGTGTTAGTCGCTTGATGAAATTCAGCTGTAGTCTGAAACGCTGTGGATTTAGATCCACTTGTATCTTTCGTCTAGGTAATTAATTCGCTGCGAAGTCCTTGGCGATGTAGGTGCACAACCAGGTGTGTCTGTCCTCGTTGAACTTTATGTAAAATCGCCTGACTGCCGATCCCTCGTCTTAACTTGACAGGGAGGTCTCTAACTGAAGAAAGGCAGTCTAATCATGAATGTTCAGGTTAACTGGACTGTAATGAGGCTTGCTCGTTCACTGATATATAGTTGTCACTTGTGGCGTAAGTCTTGAACTGTGAATAGAGATCGACCTCTGTGTAGGTCGTTGTCCCTCAGCGGTCCAATCAGAACAAGGCATTTTGATTCTGTATAATACCAGCTGTGATGTCACCGGTGTAGCGGGAAAAACCCACCTTGAATAAATTCTTGTCGTCGTTGATATTAGCATAAGCGTCGGTCTTCACCGTAGCTTCCCGAAGTTATCCGGTGACCACGTGTTTCGAGGGTTAATGGTAACCGCTGCGAAAACCTCCGGTATGCCAAATATCTCGCTCTGTAATTTTATGCTGGGTAGGTTATTTTCCTGGTTGTCGGAAAGTAATTTCAGTTTTGAATATAATTCCGACTTCCTTATATATAAGGGTATAAACAACTTGCAAGTTGTGAGCTTGTAGACTGTATACATGAATGTATCGTCATAATTGTAGAATTAACGTTGAACTTGTTGTACATATTTCTTCTCAGAAACTTTGACGATTAAGAGTTATACTGGCGCTGTAACAAGGCTGCTGTTCAATTTCGATATTGAATTGTCTGCAGATATGCGTAATGGTCACGCATGTAGATAATCGTATCGTGCCGTCCGGGATTGTATATTAGCAATTTATACGGGAATAGTTGATTTCTGTGAAGATCTATGAAATGTCGCTTGACTAATAATACAGCGGCGTTCTCTGTGTTGTAAATAGCCTGAGCAATTATCTTCGGCGTGAAGCTTATAGGCGGCATCTGGCATACAGTTGATAATCAACTTATGCGGCGTCTTGAACGGACTGACGAGTAGCTATATATGACGAGTGGCTAGTATATGGAAACCTTGGAGGAGACTTCCTCGGTGAACGCCGAGACTTGGCGGAAGTTCTCGAAGTATCCCTTCTAGATCTTCTGGGTGAAGTAGACTTGGAGCCACTTAGCCTTCGCGACCATCGCTAAGGTGTCGAGTCAAAGCCCGATTAGTATATATATATATATATAAATATATATATGAGCTTGCTTCGTGAACAGCCTCTGTGTTTAACAGGATGTGGGATCGGCGGCGCTTGCCTAAGTAGGGGCCGCATGGATCATCTTATCATATTCAGAAGTCGTGGTTACGAAGTCTGGTGATAAGTGTCTAATTGATCGTTCTAGATCTATTTAGGCCAGCGAACATACGTCTCGCCATGGATTCAACAGAACCAATATAATGATTGTAGTTCTTATACTTGATATCGATGATCAACTTGTCTATGGGTTGATCTTCTCGGAGACTTGTGAGGGAACGTTGATAGTTTCGCTAAGCTCTTGTATAGTCCCTCGATGTCCTTCTAGATGATGATGATCTGGATTCAGGTGTCCCGGCGCATGCCTTCGCGAAGCTTCCTCTCGCGTCCCGGTCCGGGAGAGCGGCGATATGACCTTCGCGAAGGCTTCCGTGATGTCTGATGGTCCGAGTCCACATCTAGGGATGAAACCGCATAAGGTGATGATCTATCCTGCCTTCGCGAAGTCCTTCGCGAAGGCTGTACATCTAGGTCCTTCCGCCTTCGCGAAGGCTGTACATCTAGGTCCTTTCCGCCTTGCGAAGGCCTTCGCGAAGGCTGTACATCTAGGTCCTTCGTCAAGGTGGTCCGTGACTTCCTTCGCGAAGGTGACATCGTCCTGGCTGCTACGTTGACGGGGGGTGCCTCTGGGGTGCTGTTCACGTTGGAGCCTTCGCTGAAAACTCGGACCCTGCTACCGCAGATATTGGTCCTCCATGATGTTCATAATTTGTCGCATCATGTCTTCTGGGATGGTCTCTGCGACGAGGTCGTCGGTGCTTTATCTCGCGGTGTTAATGGAGGGGTCCACGGAAAATCGTCCGACATCAGTGTAGAGGCATCAGGCTGCATGGTGATCTCTGCTGATGTCGTTGTAGCTGTCACCGGGTCGTTTCTTGTGGCGTGATGTCGGGGATGATGATCAGCTGATCATCGTAGAGAGTCCAGGTCATCGGCTGGAACAATCTCGGTTGAGAAAGTCCTAGTAGACTTCGTTGATTTTCCCTCAGAGAGGCGACGCTGCCCTGGATGTGCGGCGTCTGCGTTGAGTGTTGGTAATGATGGGACCCTCAGGGCGATCATCGCGCATATCTGCGTTGGTACATCAGGCTGCATGCTGATCTGTGCCGACATCGGTCAATCTTTGATGTACATCCGGTATGATGACCGGCTGATCATCATACAGGCCCAAAACTTCGATGGGGAACGGTCTCCGTTGTTGAGATGTAGTAGAAAAACCTCTAGTCTTCTGCTGCGACGATGGGATGTCTGGGGAAGCAGGATGCTTCTTGGAGATGGCGGACTACGTCCCACACCTCTCCACCACTCTAGCGAACACCACACGGAGGGGAGTCCAACAGCAGTAGAGACTGGCGAGGGGTTCCGTGTATCAGTCATACTAGACTCTGCATACGCGACCTATCTGCTAAAGCGTTACCAAGCGCAAAAGTAAATATTAATAAAAAGGTAGAATTGGATAAATTAGTACCGCAACTGCAATGTGAATATAATAAACATGGCCGTACATCATATTAAAGGCGGATCAGCAGCAGCATAAAAAACGTAATCTGCAATAGTACAGAATTTTCATCAACGTAATCCACTGAAACAAACACGGCGTCCCGTGACTAAACTGTAGAAAAACGACTAAATATCAATATATAATCGTTGAAGGATACTAGCTAAACCTCTATAGATGTCTATACGAGGTAACTAACTAAATATAATTCAAAGGATATAGTGTGTCGGGAGACACAGGCGCTCTCACGTCCAGCTCACTGGGCGAAGAAGGAGAGAGTGAGGCACATGGGTAGAGGTGGCGCCCTCGTTCACGCGCTTGTGGAAAGGAGGTAACTCGTGGTGAATACTAATTAGTGATTTTAAATTGAAGGGAGCTTCAATTAGGGAGATACAAGTGTTCCACTATGTTCGCAAGAAGAAGAAGACAAGCAAAAAGAGCATGAGTCAGGATAAGGAAAAATAATATTTTTTAAAGAAACACATTCAGTCAGTGTAATGTTTTAGCCAATCAGATCGCCGGAGTTAGTGAAGTCAAGCGCTGACGAGCTAGGTTTGTATACTTCCGGCACAGCAACTCGGTCTTTGGCGATTTAATAAAACCCATCAGATGCATCCCCACGGAAAGCGCATGTATATGCCTCCTACATACATCGGAGACATGGACAAAAGCTTTTGATACTTGTGACACCTTTAAAATACGATATATTCATTGACATGTGCGTAATTGTCCGGTTTTCGATCATGTCACCGTATTTCTGTGATGAACCTTTATGTATTATATAGTAGGGGGTGTTGATACTAAACCGGGCCTAGTTTATCGATTTTCTGACCCGCAGTGGGGGCCTGTGGTTTCTGTTTGTGTCTGATTCAGATGAACGCATACTTTTTTCAACCATTTAATGAAAGAACCCTAAGTGTGCACTTAATACTACATTTGTAACAGACCTACCAATATTATACAGTCCATTTGGGATCAACCAAACCATTCTATGATGTTAAGTGTTGATAAAACATCAGGTTTGTTCTCTTAAAGTGGTGGGGTAGTACGGTAGCCCCATGGTTAAAGCGTTGGTTCATCATGCCGAAGGCCTGGGTTCGATTGCCCACATGGGTACATTGTGTCGAGCCCATTTCTGGTGCTGTGGTATTGCTGGCATATTGCTAAAAGCGGAGTAAAACCCAACTCACTCACAGACTCACTCTTAAAGTGGTGTTATAAGTAGTTCCACCAACAATGTCAACAAATTGTTCACAGATCAAATCCTGATTCATCTATTCTTAATTTAACTATAATATTATATCAGGTTTGAATTCTATACTTGAAACCATCCTCCCAGCCCATCCCAAACCTGATTGTCCATCCCCGACAGAGCTCGAAGCAATCTCCCAAACTCACACTTATCCTGCTGGTAATCTTTCCTGCTGAATGGGACGTAATGGTGGACTTGGTGTCTCGAGATGTTTTGGTTGCAGCCTCTTTCTGACGTTTCTGATAGAGCAGCTCCTGGACAATATTAGTGGCCAGTGCTTTGTGGTATTCCTCCTCTAGACCCTCACTCCCACCTGTAGACAAGAGAAAGTGCAGTGACTGGACAATATTGATCAAAAGTGCCTTGTGGTGGCAGGAAACAACAGAAACTGAATAGACACTGGACAATATTGGTGACCAGCACCCCAGTGCCTTGTGGTACCCCTCCTCTAGACCCTGAAGCCCAACTGGAGACAACAGAAACAGTGCAGTGACAGGACAATATTGGTGGCAAGAACCTTGTAGTACCCCTCCTCTAGACCCTGAAGCCCAACTGGAGACAACAGAAACAGTGCAGTGACTGGACAATATTGGTGGCAAGAACCTTGTAGTACCCCTCCTCTAGACCCTGAAGCCCAACTGGAGACAACAGAAACAGTGCAGTGACAGGACAATATTGGTGGCAAGAGCCTTGTAGTACCCCTCCTCTAGACACTGAACCCCAACTGGAGACAACAGAAACAGTGCAGTGACTGGACAATATTAGTGGCAAGAGCCTTGTAGTACCCCTCCTCTAGACCCTGAAGCCCAACTGGAGACAACAGAAACAGTGCAGTGACAGGACAATATTGGTGGCAAGAGCCTTGTAGTACCCCTCCTCTAGACCCTGAAGCCGAACTGGAGACAACAGAAACAGTGCAGTGACTGGACAATATTGGTGGCAAGAGCCTTGTAGTACCCCTCTTCTAGACCCTGAAGCCGAACTGGAGACAACAGAAACAGTGCAGTGACTGGACAATATTGGTGGCAAGAGCCTTGTAGTACCCCTCCTCTAGACCCTGAAGCCGAACTGGAGACAACAGAAACAGTGCAGTGACTGGACAATATTGGTGGCAAGAGCCTTGTAGTACCCCTCCTCTAGACACTGAAGCCCAACTGGAGACAACAGAAACAGTGCAGTGACTGGACAATATTGGTGGCAAGAGCCTTGTAGTACCCCTCCTCTAGACCCTGAAGCCGAACTGGAGACAAAAGAAACAGTGCAGTGACTGGACAATATTAGTGGCAAGAGCCTTGTAGTACCCCTCCTCTAGACCCTGAAGCCCAACTGGAGACAACAGAAACAGTGCAGTGACAGGACAATATTGGTGGCAAGAGCCTTGTAGTACCCCTCCTCTAGACCCTGAAGCCGAACTGGAGACAACAGAAACAGTGCAGTGACTGGACAATATTGGTGGCAAGAGCCTTGTAGTACCCCTCCTCTAGACCCTGAAGCCGAACTGGAGACAACAGAAACAGTGCAGTGACTGGACAATATTGGTGGCAAGAGCCTTGTAGTACCCCTCCTCTAGACCCTGAAGCCGAACTGGAGACAACAGAAACAGTGCAGTGACTGGACAATATTGGTGGCAAGAGCCTTGTAGTACCCCTCCTCTAGACACTGAAGCCCAACTGGAGACAACAGAAACAGTGCAGTGACTGGACAATATTGGTGGCAAGAGCCTTGTAGTACCCCTCCTCTAGACACGGAAGCCGAACTGGAGACAACAGAAACAGTGCAGTGACTGGGCAATATTAGTGGCAAGAACCTTGTAGTAGCCCTCTGCTAGACCCTGACTCCACCTTGGGACAAAGCATACGACTTGTGGAGGCAAGAGACAACAGAAACAGAAACACTGGACAATATTGGTGGCAAGAGCCTTGTGGTACCTCTCCTCTAGACCCTCACTCCACCTTGGGACAAAACATGTTAAGGGACCATTCATAATTTATGGCTAGGGGGATGATGATGATTTTGATGGATAAGCATGTATAATGTGAATGTCCCTCCTACTAGCCATGTACAAAATCATCCCCCATCATAAATAAAAAAATTAAGCATAACTTTTAAAAATTTGATTGTACAAAATTGATCACCAGCCCACCTTAGTACAGTCATGTGTACAAAATTTATGACACCCCCTACCGCCCCAGAACAAAAAATGGGTGACCCCACTTAAAATCATCATAATCTCTTCTTCTTTATTATGAAAAAACAAAGAATGTTTCTTACCGAGAATACCCAGGTTTTTCTTCTCAGCATCACTTTCTTCTTCTGGCAGTTGCTCCCCCTTGATCGCTAGTTGCCATGACGATCGGTTGGTGAGGTTGAAGGAGCAGGACGCGGACAGGTCGATGCCGTCTGTGCTCTCCTCGGCTGTGTTGTGGCTGTGGACACAAGTAGACCATACAACAGTTGTACCGATGTAGACCGTACAACAGTTGTACCGATGTAGACCGTACAACAGTTGTACCAATGTAGACCGTACAACAGTTGTACCGATGTAGACCGTACAACAGTTGTACCGATGTAGATCATACAACAGTTGTACCGATGTAGAACAGTTGTAGCGATGTAGACCATACAACAGTTGTAGCGATGTAGAACAGTTGCACCGATGTAGACCATACAACAGTTGTACCGATGTAGAACAGTTGCACCGATGTAGACCATACAACAGTTGTAGCGATGTAGACCATACAACAGTTGTAGCGATGTAGACCATACAACAGTTGTACCGATGTAGACCGTACAACAGTTGTACCGACGTAGACCATACAACAGTTGTACCAACGTAGACCATACAACAGTTGTACCGATGTAGACCATACAACAGTTGTACAGATGCAATAATAAGTTAAACAACTTTGTTTACACCCCACTGAGCAACATAAAAGAAACCAGTCTATATGGATGGCAGACCAAAAGGACCAGTGGCTGATGTTAAGAGTAAAGACCCATGTCTCTGTACTTCCTTTAAACCGACTCACTGAGTCTGACCAAAACCTTTACCAATGACCAGGACGAGGTTCCTGGTGATCCAAAGAGTATGGGGTTTTAGGTGTTGTGGGGAAGAGTGAGTGAGTGAGTTTTGTTTTACGCCGCTTTTAGCAATATTCCAGCGATATAACGGCGGGGGACACCAGAAATGGGCTTAACACATTGTACCCATGTGGGGAATCGAACCCAACTCTGGGCGCACGAACTGAGCAACTTAACCACTAGGCTACCCCACCGCCCTACCCCACCGCCCTGTTGTGGGGAAGAAGAGGGGTACGGTTGAGGTCACTGGGTCTGTCTGTCTGTCTGTCTGGGTTGCCTTGGAGACAGTCTTCAGACACTTGGGTCAAAGAAGTATGTGGACAGTTGATTTCTAACAAGTTGTTTCTTGGGATTTGTCTTCAAAGATTGGGGACAGAGAGTCTTTCCTTTTGTTATGTACCGTATATTACCGTAGATAAGCTGAATTTTGAGGACCAAAAAAAGCAGTCTGTAGAAGGGGGTTGGCTTATCTATGGGCTACACTTTCATCAAACTTTTTTCCAGGGGTAAGAAAACAACATCGTATCACTTCTCGTGAACAAACAACAGAAGACAACTTAGTCAGTAAAGACATCAAATTTACAATTAAACATCACTAGACAAGATTACTTACCTTTTAAGTTCTAAGTTGTTTTTGCTGGGCATTGTATTATTTGCAGGGATTAAGATTACTGTGTGTATTTGATGTGGAAATAGCAATCAGCTGTGCACACGTTTCCCGGCAATCAAGTTCAAACATGCACAATAATATAACGGGATGAATTCTGATGCAGTCATCAGTAAAATACAATGCAGAGTACTATTATTTCACCCAAAGCAATATATCCTAGCATTGTGTAATTTTAATTACAGTTTAATGTAAGATATATATAATCAACACTAAGGTTATACGGACCCTCATGAACGTGGTAAGCAGAAGTTGTACGCACATGGAATGGGGTAAAAAAAGCAAGCCATTTAAATTCACACATTTTTACTTATGTTACTGTCAACTAGTCCATGGAAAACAAGTTCATGGAAAAATCAGTTCGTGATTGTTGATAATATGATGTGAAATTGGCTATCGCAGTTGGAGCGAAAAACGTACCTTCACGAACGTGGTAAGCGTAAGTTGTACGCACATGGAATGGGGTAAAATAAGCAAGCAGGTTTGTTGACATGTGATCCTCCAGTTACAATAAGTATGATATTTAGCGAAACAAAATATATTAGCCATTTTCTGGAAACTACACTTCATTTCTATGCCTGAGTAGACGCAATATGATTGTGAATTCTTTGAATAATGTGGACCAAAGTTATAATTATCGGTAACTGCCAGTTGTCTGTGGTCCGTGTTTCCCGCAATTAGGACCCCATCGTGGGGGATCGGCTTATGTATGAAACATACCATTTTGACACTGATTTTAAAGGTCAAGTTTGGGGGTCGGCTTAACTATGGGGTCGGCTCATCTACGGTAATATACGGTAGTATGTTGACGTAACATTATTTGGAGTTTTGCATTTGTATTTCAACATATGTAAATATGTATTGTGTGAAATCAATGGTCGTTTGTGGTCATTTGTGCAAGATCTTGTATTTGATCCTGCCACCTTCAGTGTCTGTCACACCTATGGACACACTACTGTCCAACCATATTGCCATCCTCAATTCTACGAAGGGACACAACTCTGCACAGTGAACAACAATGCCATAGATACCTTTACAACCATGACTCTTCAAATTGTCATTGAAGAAGAGATCATTAATCTTCACAAACAAATCTCCACAACACATATAACGGACAACCAACATACAGATATAGGGATGTTCGACATCCTTACCTTTGACCTGTGAGGGCTTTCTTGAGACTAGTTTTGCCCACTCTATCCTTTCCTACGAGCATAAGACGTGTGCGGAACACTGGCTGGGTTCCTGAGCACGCCTTTTCATACGCCTCCATCGCATCCGGACCACGGGCAACAATCTCCTTTGGAGCATCGTCTGCAAGAAGTTGTTTTTGATTAAATCTTATGTCACTGTAGAAACGTCTTATGAGGTTCAAATTACAATTCAGACCCATAAAATAAATGTTCAGTCTTTAAACAGGGTTTGAGATAATTATACAATGTTTCTGGTAACTAATCAAGAAATAATATGTGGTTGCCTGAAGTGACAAGCATATTAACGTCATCACTTTGAAAAATAAGATATTTGGATCAATAAATAGGACAAATGTTCAGCATCAACAGGAATATGAGCCTGATTGAGGCTGATTGATGAAGTGAGATGAAATGAGATTTAACATCTTAGGATCAATTTTGAAAAATGGCAGTACAGGAAGTGATGTCAAGAGATGAAGAATGACATGGGTTATCATGTTCTGGTTTACTGCTAGTTTGAACAGTTTTCTAGCTTTACCATGGTATGTCAGCTTAAAGTAGGAGGAGTGAGTGAGTTTAGTTTTATGCCACTTTTTGCAATATTGCAGCAATATCACAGCGGGGGACACCACAAATGGGCTTCATACATTGTACTCATGTGGGGAATCGAACCCGGGTCTTTGGCATGATGAGTGAATGCTTTAACCACTAGGCTACCCCACTGCCCCTTAAAGTAGGAGGAAAGCCCAAGTGACGCAGTCTAAGACTTTACCACCTTGGTGAAACCCATGAACACGGGTTTAGTGAGGACAGACCTTGAAACATAATCAGGGAAATTGGGATTCCAACCTACAGTCACAGGTTTCTGGTGTTTGGTACTTGTTGTTGCCCTGCCTGGTGTTTAGCATTAAGGAAACAAAACAAGGGTTGGTTGGTGTATCCATGTTACACTGCTGCCTGGTATCTCCGTGGGCTGTTACAATAACATTGGCACTTATTGGGACTTGTGCCTTACAAGCAGCAAGATACATGTTCATGAACGTCCGCATCCTGGGATACAACAACAACATCACGGCAGGGGACACAAGAAATGGCCGTCACACATTGTACCCATGTGGGGAATCGAGCGAATGCTTTAACCACTGTTACCACCGCCCCAGTTTGATGGTGATGACTGAAACTCCTGGAGATAATTCATAATATCAACCACTTGGTGTCTGACCTAGATTTGATTATTACCAGTCAACCTTGAATCAGCTGCAATATTGCCAGTTATGGTGCTGTTAAAACAACTTTCAGTGATTCACTTTTCAAAATCCTAAATAGCTCTAAAATCAACAATCACTTAACAAAGGCAAAGAGCTCTTGTCTCCCCACCTGTGCCCTGATGACACTTCATGACAACTTAAGCGCCCTTCACTAGACACAACAGGAAGCAGCAGTAAGATAAGCCTTTCTGGTGTGTAAAATCAATATCCTAGTCACCTGGATGATCAAGACTTGAGTAAGAGCACATCTGATTACTTATGACATACTATACAACAAAATCATTGTCCAGATTTACATTAGCCGCTAAAACTCTGGCAGAAATGGCTCTGCCAACAACTTCATGTCGACACGGGGAAATCAATGTTTTTCAGGAAATGGCATCCCATCCATTAGGTGGCCTTGCACAAGATATACACATGAAGCATACATATTATGTAAAGGAAATCGGTCTCCCATAAATAGACTTCCATAACATCAGCAAACATGTGGACGTGGTAGGCTTTTTTCTGCATGACTCCAGTTGATAAAAAACATGTGAGATTTATCGACGTGTTTGTGAAGGCTGACCTTACTGTTTTCAGATTTATCAATTTGGATTTGTTTTCGCTATGGGTAAAATGACTTGAAACTTGCTTACGGTGTAGGTATCTGCATAAAGTGACTGCTTTTGCAACCCTTTGGTATTTTTGTTTTTGTTTATTGTTTATTGTTTACACCACACTGAGCAATATGGCGGCGGTCTGTAAATAAACGAGTCTGGACCAGACAATCCAGTGATCAACAGCATGAACATCGAACTGCCCAACTGGAATGTGAAGGCATGTGTGAACCAAGTCAGCAAGCCTGATGACCACCTGATCCCGTTAGTTGCCTCTTACAACAAGCAAGGGTTGCTGCAGACCAATCCTAACCTGGATCCTAACCTGGATCTTCACAGGTCCTCATTCCTTTGAGATGATGGTACTGAAATTATTTATCCCTGAGAGTTTCTGTATGTCCTAGAACAGGACACATTAAACTTGTGCTGGTCTTTACACATACGTCCTCAGTCACCTAGCGTGTTGTACCTCTATACATCTCTTTAATATAGCTGGAAAACTGCTGAGAGCGGCGTAAAACTAAACTCACTCACTCATCTCTTTAATTTTATCATTCAATTAAAGCATTTATCAGTGACATACGCTTATGACATAAAATCTTTATGTCACACACCAATCATGTAAGTATGCAAATTAGATAACTGAAAGAGGGACTTTTTATATGTTGCATGAAGCCAACTATGACTTGCTTAGACCAGCCAAGAATTAACTAGACCAACAATGCCTTACTTAGACCAGCCAAGATTTAATTAGACCAACAATGCCTTACTTAGACCAACAGTGAATTACTTAGACCAACAATGCCTTACTTAGACCAACAGTGAATTACTTAGACCAACCAAGATTTACTTAGACCAACAATGACTTACTTAGACCAGCCAAGACTTTTTTTTTTCTTCTTTTTTTAATTTTTATTTGTTCCCATGGTTACAAAGTCAATAACAAGGGTATATGGTAGCAACAAGCACAGAAAAGGTGAAGATACATTGCTGTAGAGATATAATGGTAATTAGTTGCTGAATACTGGGATTAGCGAATTCCATTTAAGATTGAATTTCTCGATTTCATTGTTTCTCTTTGAAATAAATTTTTCTACAGAAAATATCTCTTTTAATACCTTTTTATAATTACTGAATTTTGGAATTGATTTTTTTATATTACATAAATTGATATGTTTTTTGGCAGAGATAATGATTTGATTTAGTAATACATCATTATGCAATGTACCAAACCAAATCAAATATTTTGTGATGTTTATTTTTCGTGGTAAATAGTTATTAATCCAGAGTTCGAGATCATTCCAGAATTTCATGCTTTCACAGCATTCCCAATAAACATGACAAATGCTCTCAGAAACATTATTGCAAAAACTACACAAATCATTGTCAATCAGGTTCATTCTCGATAATTCCTTTTTAGTATAAATAACCCTTTGCAAAAATCTGTATTGAAAATCAAGAAGTTTAACGTCTTTCAATCCATGTCTATAAGAGTTAAAATTTTTGTACCAATCAAACTCACAATCATTGAATATAGTTTCCCATTTAGTACAAATTTCAAGTTTATCATTTTTAGAAATCAGCTTGTCATAAAATATTCTTGAACCTTTGGAGAGCTTTAATATATTTCTTTGGTAAACATTGATATATAAATTGTAGGAAGGAATGATTCTTGGACCAGCCAAGACTTAATTAGACCAACAATGCCTTACTTAGACCAGCCAAGATTTACTTAGACCAACAATGCCTTACTTAGACCAACAGTGAATTACTTAGACCAGCCAAGATTTAACTAGACCAACAATGCCTTACTTAGACCAGCCAAGATTTAATTAGACCAACAATGCCTTACTTAGACCAGCCAAGATTTACTTAGACCAACAATGCCTTACTTAGATCAACAGTGAATTACTCAGACCAACAATGACTTACTAAGACCAGCCAAGATTTAATTAGATCAATTATGACTCACATAGACCAGCGAAGTTTTGCTTAGATCAACTATGACTTACTTAGGCCTGTCAAGATCTACTTACTATGCCTTAATTCTTTAATAGGTAGTAGTGCATTTATTCCTTCTCACAGGAAACTGTTTCTTTATTCTTGATGCATTTGGCACATCAAAAATATATATTTATGTCACTTTCAAAATGTATTTAATAATGTTGTATTTATTCTTGTTACACCTATTTATATCTAAAAACATGAGTACAGAGACAAGATAAAAATATCTGTGACCGAGACATACTAAGGGCTTACAAAAGTGAACACGAAAAATATATTTTTGGGAGCAGATTCTGTTTCATGAATGAGCAGTTGTCACCTAAGCAATAGCTTGGGAAAATAATTCACTACAGCTAACAAGCTGATTGCTCCTGAAACTACCTCAATATTGGCAATGAAGGCCCAGACATACATCACAGTTGATGTTCCACCTGCATGTCATGTCATAATGTGGGCGGATCTCATGACGGAGTCGGCAAAATCAGACGTCATCCTATTAGCTACCAACATATCACTCGATCAGTGAAGGTCCGGGTTAGAATGAGCTGTCAGTAACCCATGCTTGTCGTAAGAGGCTACTAATGGGATTGTATGGTCAGGCTCGCTGATGTGGTTGACACATGTCATCGGTTCCCAATTGCGCAGATCATTGCTCATGCTGTTGATCACTGGATTGTCTGGTCCAGACTCGATTATTTATAGACCGCCGCCTAGCTGGAATATTGCTGAGTGCGGCGTAAAACTAAACTCACTCACCAACATACCACTCAATGTTCTGTCAGCAGTATAGTTGTTCTTTACAGTCTGTATTCTTAAATGTCAGGATACGTTAAAATTTAATTTGATTTTGTATCTGAAGTAAAGAGATGAGGTGAGGTGAAATGGGGTTTAATGTCGGACTTAAGAATAATTCGCTCACATGAACATGTGTATGCGTGTGTATGTGTGGCTGCTTGTACAAGCCCAGACTTAAGCTGGTTTTATAGAGCTAGCTCACTCAGATACCATGCTGCAGTTAAGCATAAATGCCCCACTCAGACACATTATACTGACTCCAAGCCGACCAGTCCATGTTGTACCCATTAATGCTGTGAAGTAAAGAAAATGGTAAAACAACTAAAAGTAAGAGATTTCGCTGTTGTGACATTTTGTACAGTACAGAAGTTACATGATAGTCAATCAGCTGGATGTGATGAAACACAACAGAAAAAATACGGAACCATTTTTCTTGTCTCTGGGGACATGGATAT